TGGCAGCTGCCTGTCTGTAAAGCCCAGGTTTCCAGGTGCTGAAGGGCAGGACCCTCAGGACTGTGGCTGTCACAGCAGGTGTGACAATCGCCCTTTCTCATGCAGGTAGAGTTCTGCAAGTCCTTTGGGGACTCAATAAAGCCCTGAGCCTGGAGCAAACATGCCCAGAGACCAAGGCAGCCCGAGCAGCCCTCACAAGGCTCTGTCCTCCGGAAATTAAGAAGGTATGCAGGTGACCGCGCCAGCACCCGGCCTGTGTGGGCAGGTGGTGGCTGTGGAGGGGTCTGCAGTTCCATCTGCCCTCCCCCTCCCATGTGGCCCTCATCCTCTGCCTCTGTTTTTAGGATGACAAGAAGAAAAAGGCCCCACATGAACTGGAGCAGGTGAGTCTGTCCTGTTGACCGAGAGGGCAGGGGAAGCTGGTTGGAGGGGAGCAGGCTGGTACAGAAAGCAGAGCCCACACCTTGAGAGTCCTGCCATGTCTCTGTGGACTCGCGGTCCACCAGAGATGGGGAGGATGCTCGCCCTGCTGGGAGTTCGAAGGGCTAAGCCCCACTGAGTTCCCTCTGCCTCTTCTCCTGTGTCCCTGCTGCCTGCCTCCGGTGCCCCCAGCTGATGGAAGACACCGAGTTCCAGGAGTTCCTTTCAGTTCACCAGAAGCAGATGCAGGTGGCCACTTGGGCAAATGGTGCCCTGGTCACAGCCCCCAGAATGGAAGAGCAAACCGACCAGTGACTACCTGAACTTTGACTCTGATTCTGGGCAGGAGAGTGAGGAGGAGCCGGGAGGTGAGGCTTGGGCATTGTGCCTGGGCACCTGTGTCCCTCAACTGCAGCCCTGTGGACCACTGACACCTACTGGCAGGCACTGGCCGCCCCTCCCTCAGACACCAGGCCTGGGGCTGTCCAGACATGGCTCAGGAGCTTTCTAGTGGGGGGATGAGGTCACCTGCAGGAAGGTCTGCCATGACTGCTTCTAGTCACTTGCTTGTCAGTCAGCAGTGTTCTCCGATTGCATGCTGCGTGCTGGGCTCTGGAGACATGGCACTGAGCCACAGACAGGAATCCTGCCCCGTGGCGCTGTCAGCTGTCATTGTGGTGAGAGGAGAGGAGTAAACAGATGAGCACCCAGGGACGCGTCATGGGGTCACAGCCTCTACGGAGAGGAAGCAGGAGAGCTT